GCTTCGTAATTTGAGGACTGCTTTTCATCCTCTTCTTGCTACTTTTATGCTGTATGGCTGTATGTGAATGTACGAATGATGATGGAAAATAATGAGAAGAGAAAAACAAGGCACAGACACGAGCAGGGCAGCACAAAAAGTGGAGATTTTAATTTTGTAATTTCTATGATAATAAAATGTGAGTTGGAATGTCATGCTGTAGGTTTTGCCATGGCCAAAACGCATTTTTTGTTGTTATACTGCTGATTGAAGGTTAGGAACTAGAAACAGGTGTTATTTCTGGTTTCAACAACAAATTCCAGACGACAAAATGACGAGCAACTCTCGACATACCCAATAAAAAGCAGTTCATGCTGAAAATATTCTCGCTGGTCGTTATCAAGGCAATGAAAAAAATTAAGGAACAGAAATAAAAATAAAATAATAAAAAATGCTGTGAAAATTACTACGCAGACTTCCTTGATTCATTAAATAATTAAAAAAAATGATTTCTTATTTTTGTGCATCTCGCCATGAAAGTTTTTCAATGCTGCTTGCTGCTGTTGATGCTGTTCTGCCTTCCTAAACCACATTTATTGTGCATGATGATGATAAGAAAAGTTCTTTAGAAGTAAAATTGCATAATTTGTGCAGCATGTTGGAAACAAAAACAAAAAAAGCCAAAACATGAGATGTTATCATGAAGCTACACAAGAGACATCATTTACAGCACAAGAAAGCAATTTTCACATCCCATTCCCAATTTCATTTCTTCTTGTTCTCAATTTTTTTATCATTCATCCATTACATTACAATAACACAATAATAAATGGAAATAGAAGCGAAAGAGAGTGGATGGATGGAATTGAAGTAAAGCAAAGGAAGCAAGCACGAAATGTGGATGAAGTTTAAAGAAAAGGATTACTATAATATCAAAATACGATGAATCTTTATTGTTTCTGAGCTCATGAAACAATTTTCGCAAAATGCTACTGTTCAGCTTCTGTTTTTGCTACTGCTTCTCCTCCTCACTTTTATTCCATTTTCTTTCATCTTGTTCTTATTCTTCTTACATACAATGTAATGCTCTACATTCATAAGACAATGTTGAAAGAACATTTTTGTTAAATTTCAGTACAGAACGATGCTAATATTCTGAATAGCTTTCCCGTTCAGCACAATCGCTCACATATGGAGCTCACAATTTTTAAAATGATGTCCACATTTATTTTATGCTATAAAGAATTTTTCAGCCACGAACAATTTTAGTGCTTAAAATTTGATGACTTTGGAATGAGTTCCATACAGTAAAGAGGTAACAGCTTGAAAATAGCAAAAACTAATCCAATTTAAATTCATTTCTGAGCCACATTCTGTTGAAAATTAATTAAATCTCTCGAATTCCCTTGAATTCACCAACCCATCTCTATATCCAATTCTATTTCCATTTACATCAAAGACATCCAAGTCACATGATTTCATTAATCGAAAAGCAGCACTTTACATCAATAGGAAATTGTTTACAATCGTAAATCACATGGAAATGTGAAAAGAATGAGCGAAAATGAGAAATGGAAAAATTTAGTGACTCATGTATCATCGTTGTAAGTGTGATGACGCAACAGACGCCTACACATGAACTTCAAATATGAGAACTTTACATGTAAAAAATGCTTTGCCAAAAGCTGCATTGACGTAAGTTATCATGATAGTCTCCAAAAAGTCCTGTTTGGAACTGACATTTCTATTTTTAAGGCAATACTAATTTTAAGTCTGATAAAAATGACTTTAAATGGCACAAGTTACTTAAAGCTACTTGACAAGGATAAAGACTAAAGCATTATCTTTTCCAGCAGCACAAACGCACAATGAAAATATTTTTCTGCACGAGAATCTCAAAAAAATAACATTAAAGGATGTAATAACATTCAGTTTTATGGATGCAACCAGGCGTTCCTTAAATTTATGTTTGATTCATTTTCCTTTCATCATCAGTCGTCGTGTTCATGCATGTAGAAGTAAATCAGCATGTAAATAAATAACGCATAACGCGAAATGTAAATAAAAAAGATAATTTTTGTGTTCTTATCATCTCGGTTCCTCCCTTGTTCTTCATCGTGTCGACTTTGAATTATTTCAGGCATTTGCACTCGAAAACATAAACATCAATTTATCATTGAAAAGGAACTACGTGCATTTTTGTTCCATTTTTTTATGACATCCTGAATATGAGGAACGTCTTAACGTCAACATGTACGGCATTGACATAAAGTTACCTTTCATCCCCACCCACTCTGAACACATATAAGACATGCCATTGAGTGGAGATGTTAAAAAGATGTGTCAAAATAATAAGCTCAACATTTATAGCTTTATGCTGCCTATTCTTTGATGCCTTTGCCTGTCATACTCATATAAGAAGGAAACTTCATTCATTTTATGTGAATTTATGTCTATAAGGTTGATGCTTTAGGATTTATTGCTCATTTTGCTTTCCCCCCTTCTTACTGCCTTTCTCACTTTTCTTTTCCTACTTCCTTTATTTTCAATAAAAAAAGTTGAGTTTACATGTGCGTTGTTTCAATGAAATTGGCATGCTACATTAAGACACACGAATGTAAAAAGTACGAAGAGGAAAAAAATCGATCTCAATAATCAGATTTGCTTGCTTTCTTTCATCCTTCATTGAGTTTTGTGTGAGTTTTTTATTTCTTTTACATCATCAGCATTAGAAAATGTTATTAAAATATATTCACTGGATGTGAAGTTTGAGTGTTATTTCTTGTGGTTTTGTGCTGTACTTGTTAATAGTTTTTGGGAGAATTTGAAGCTTTTTGAATGTCAAACTTTAAAGGAACTGACCAAAATGTTGAATTGTATGAATTTCTATCAGATCCAGAGGATTAGCCTCAAAAGTGATAGATAAAATCACATCCAGCAATCAAAACTCAATGAAAATCTCCTTTACATCCACAGATAAACAATAAATGATTAAGTACGAACAGCAATAATAATTGCTTATTATTCAGTCAATCTGCTTACTGCTCTATACAAACAAATGAAGTTCCTCTTCTCAGGTTCTTAATCTCCGGTTAATTTTCTCCTTCTTCATTCTCATTGATTACATTCAACTTCCGTTTCTTTTTCTCATTCTTGCTGTATTTTTTGTGCCTACAATACTCACGAAATAATTTATTCATCACAATTTAATTGAAATTGATTGGAAATTGTTCATAATTTTATTTGTAGAATCCACAAATGAGCAGAACAGACACTGAGCGCCATAAACAATTGTAAATTCTTCTTTTTCAGCACATCCATCAATTGTAATGCAATAAAAATTACTTTATAGAATCTAAAACTTTAGATCGCGATGCACATGACTTGAAATTCTGATGATGACATAAGAACATGACAGAGACACATTTTACTGCCATTGCATTATTGCTCTTCTTCCTTCTCTTGATACTTTATGTGTAAAGTTTCATTTCTGCTGAGATTTCAGAAAAAAATGTGAGAACTTCTTCTTATTGAATTGGATAGAATAAGAAATTTATTTTCGTGTGTATTTGATGAATATCAAGCTGTTAGTTCTTTATCACTTTTCTTTCATCCACAATTTTGACTTATATTGTTTTCCTCACACATCCCATCATGTAACTTCCCATATAAAAATAAAATAGTTACAAAACAGTAAAATTCCATTAGATAAAGATATTTATAGGAACGGATGAAGTAGAAGAAATTGTGAGGATAAGGAATGAATATATCAATCATTTTAAAAGGCACATATCTCATACTTACAAATATTATATGGATGTATGAACATATATGGCAACGAATGAGATAAAATGAATCAATGAATGTGAGTTATTGCATCAAGATAAGAAGGAATGGAATCAAAAGAAATTGAACAACATGTTTGTGTGTTACAAGGCAAGATGAAGAATTCCATCGATAAGAAAGTTCACAAATGATTTGCCATAAGAGGCCGTTTCCGAGCGAGAACACCTAATATTTTCTCCTTATGCCTATATGCCAATGCTAGCAAACAGAAATTTTTGAGTTCTTATTATTCGAACTTCGAATTTTTGAGGTTCTTATTTTTCGAAAATCGAATCTTCGAAGTTCTTATTTTTAAAAAAATTCGTTGTGAATTATTATTTTTCGAGTAATTTGTAATTTTAGTGAACATTCCTACTAGTTTTTATGATTAAGATAATCACTGTGATGAATTTGCATTCCTTAAATGTTAATGCTTTAAAAAAACAGCTAGTTTAAAAAAAATAAAAAGTAACGGACTTACTTATTTTGAAATTTTAAAAAAATACCGCGCGAAAATTTTGAAATTCTTTTGTTTGTAACGGACTCTGTTCTCTTTGCTAACATTGGCCTATATGGATGGATGTGATTTATTGAATGTATGTTGATCGATTGAATTGAATTTATGGAAGTTTTTTGAGTTCTATTAAAAATTGTACAGAAAGTCTTATAAGTTAGTATTTGAAGAATCGCTGTTAAGAATGTTATTTTCTGTGTTTTGGCAATATGACAAGATTTGGATGTATCTTGATGGAATTGAGGCAGAAAAATGTTATCAATTTATTTTTTGATCTCTTGTAAATCTCTTAATTTCTTCTTTATCTTTATCGATGACATCAAATGAAGAACTTGTTCTTAATATTACAGAACAGACTTAAATTTGTGAAATTTCCCAAAGCATCAGCCTTAATATTGTTTTCACTTTTACATGATTATTGGTGCTGCAAAATAATTTGAATTCAAAAATTCGTTACAATTTTGCTACATTTGTATGCATATACATAGTTAAACATGATTCTCGTATATCCATCAACGATAATCTTACGACTGTATCTGTTGGATTTGCATTTTAACAAAAATCTTAAATATCATGCGAGAAATTTTATATGAAAAAATGAAAAAAATTTGAGCTCAGTAAACATTGAAAACTGTTTAAAATAAATTTTTCTTCATATTCAACAATCAACGAAGCAAAGAAAATGTACTTAAGCAAAAGTTCAACGATTCCAGCCAAAACGATATCAACGATTGTATCCTGTACAAAAATTTCAAGAAGTGAAATCTCATCTCGGAAGATTTCCTTATCAGCAAGTGTTTCAGCAGTCAAGGTCAATTTACCGAAGACAAGCTCAACAATAATTCTTCCCAAAAAGTTATCCAGTTCAAAAATTCGTCAAAGGAAAATTCTGGATACCAAGAATTCTTTGGGATCCTTGCATGCAACAAGGATCTTAGCAAATCAGGTGTCATCATCATCAATACAGCCTGTGAAGAAGTTATCAAGCATGATGATTAAGCAACGCAAAATGTCGACCCACAAGATTTCCTCATCAGCCGTGCCTTCAACTGGGATCTTAGCAAATCAGGTGTCATCATCATCAATACAGCCTGTGAAGAAGTTATCCAGCATGATGATTGAGCAACGCAAAATGTCGACCCACAAGATTTCCTCATCAGCCGTGCCTTCAACTGGGATCTTAGCAAATCAGGTGTCATCATCATCAAAACAGCCTCCTAAGAAGCTACCCAGCGTAAAGATTCAGCAATACAAAATGCAGCCTATTAAGAATAAAGCGATCTCAGCTATGCCTTTGTCGTCAAAGATAATTTCGAAAAAGATGAATTCAAAGAAAATGTCGGCCGTAAAAAGTTCTCAATCATGCCATCGTGAAATGATTCTCACTTCACCGCATTTCAACTTTAATGATTTGCCATACGACCATGAGTTGATTGTAAGTATTCAATATATTTATTGAGTCCAGGAAAAGTACTTGACCAGCTGAAAGCTCCATACTATAATTTCATTAAATTTAAAGCATAATTCATAATTTAGGTTATAATTTCTTTCCTCTTTTTCCAGTTTTCTGATCGCAAAACTACAAAATTATACCGCGGATTTATGACTTATTTCCAAGGGGTGAGGGCTCCTCTCTATTCATTGCATTTCATTGCAATTTGACTAAACTTTACTGCAATTCATTGCAATTACAGTACTTTTGTGTACTATAGCAAATTGTATTGCACTTTATTGCACTTTGTTGCAATTCATTGCACTTTACTCTACTTCATTCTAGTAGAGAGGACAGTATTCACATGTGAATATATTGCATTTGATCAGATTGCAAAACCAGTTTTTTTTGGATTTTTCGGGAAAACGAAAGGTAAAGATAAATCAATATGCGCATCAAAAAGTTTGTGCCTTCAGTTTTACATCATAATCAAAAGTCAGAATTGAAATTGATTAAGGCATTGTTGAGAAAATCGCAAAATTCATTTTCTGTAAGCAAGCAAACAATCGAATTTTGCAATCGATTCGTGTTGCTCTATAAAGAACTGATTAGGTTTTGGGCATGGCAGGAACAGCCAATGCTTCAGAAAAAGCATAAAACCTTCCTTTCTTACGATTTTTAAAAACCAAAGGTTAATGTGATTTTAATAATATTGAACTTTGGATGATCATCACCAAAGAATGTTTGGTATATTCGTTAAGGTTTAAATCTTCAAACTTATGCAGACCAAATCTTGGTCTATACATAAGACTTTTGATGGTACGGTGTGAATATATCCGCATTGGGTTTCTACCCGATACACTAGTTAAATTTGAAATTTTCTGTTTGACTTTTCATAACGGGAATATTTTTATTTTGCTTTTCGAACTCAATGTTCTTTTCAGCAAATTTTTAAGAGGTTATTGTATATTGGGTTCCAAAAAATTTATATCTGGTCAATCATATTTAAATTTTTGTTTTCAAGACCGAGCTTACAAATTTCTCAAAAAAAGCAATGAAGTAAATTATTCTAAAACGGAGTTTAGTAATACACTTTAAAATTCAACAAAACTGCTGTGATCTACAGTTAACAATGACAAAGCGTAAAAAAGGTTTGTAATATGCAATAAAGTACAAAGGAAATAAAGCAAAAAACATCGTGTGCATTGAAAGTGCAGTACTATCCCAAATTTAAAGATGTTCCGCAATGAAATAAATCATTTTCCAAACAAAATTATAAAACCAGATGAGAACTAATGATATTAATACAAATTTAATGCAAATTTAATTAATGTAAGTCATCGCATTTTTATTTATTTATAAGATATAATACTAATGCTTCTTATTCTTTTGTTGTTTTAGGATTTCACATCTCCTGCACTTAGAGATAATTTCAATTGTTTGCTGGAACACTTTCAGGACAGTCCTTTTAAGATCAAAAAGGAACTATTAAGGTATCTTCAAGTTTGGGATCAATTTTATGGCAGTCCCAATTTAAATGCTGAAACACGCAAGATTTTTGAAAAATGTCCCGGACTCAAACGTGAACTCCTGGAGTACAATGTTTTGGTCAAAATCCAAGACTGCAAGGTAAGGCAACATAATTTGAATGTACCTCACGTAACATCCCCTTCTTTATAATCTATCAATTGTCGTTTCTCATCTTATTTGGTGTTCGAATCTTAATAATGTTAATAATTCTTGTTTTGTTTATTTTTCAGTATGTCACATTGAGCAGTATTAATAGCAGCAGACGTGTATGTCCAACTCTTCCACTCAAATCTCCTGGATTTATAAGATCGGTGAAAAAAATGTGGTTGGGTGGGTGATTGGGTGAGGAGTATGGGTTTGAATTGGGGTTTGAGGGGGTAGGGTTGGGTAGGGTTGGGTAGGCGAGAAGAGCATAATCAAATCTATATGGCAGTTGCGCCCCATTGACGCTAAGTGAAGGGTTTGGGTAAGGGGTTAGGGGGATTGGGTGAGGGGTGATTGGTTAACGTAAGGGGATTTTTCTTTTTAATAATATGGACATAAATGAATTTCAATGGCGCGTTCGAGTTTTTATATAATTTTTATCGAACGAGGCTTATCCTTTATAAAAAGGGCTTTGAACTTTTTAGGAATTACAAGAGAGGGTTGAGGGTGGGCTGTCCAAAAGAAAACATCACTATATTATGCGGTTTGTTAATTCATTTCTTTTTCAGCATTTACTTTACTTTGTATTTCGTGAGTTCCAATTCTTTCACAGCAAATACTTCCGGAACGCTGAGAGCCATAACAAGAATTTTACCCAATAAATCCTGAACGTGAGCTTTCTATTCATGACTCCAAGACATGCCTTACGGTATTACAGCTTGTTCTTGTTGGTTTGGAGGGGACGTAAAAGCCAGTGGTACTGAAATTCGTTGACTCAAGGCGGCATTGATTTTTATAAAGGTGCTTCCAGATGCATCATGATAGATGCATCACGGCATTTAATGTAACCCGGTGATGTGTTTAACTTACAGTTTTTGTCAAAGTTGGTAAAACTTGGCTATCCTGTAAGTTGCAATTAAGTCGTCTAACGAAAGTTGTTTGATTTAAGAAGGAGCGTATCACTGAGGAATTGGACCAAAAATTGATCATTAACCAGGGACTCGTTCTGTTGAACTTCGCGAGATGAGTCCTGTGATCTTTTCTATTTCGGTAGAAAAGAGGCCGACAAACAGAAGTTGTGAATTGGATTGGATATTTTTGGAATTCAAAATGTTTGAGTTTCAATTTTTGTAACTCTTTTTTCAAATCTTGAAATGTGAATTTTTCGTCTTCAATTCTTGAAATATGAATTGAAGTATGTTTATTTAATCATATAAGTATAAAGCATGATTTTCAGCCATATTTGATCATTAAGTACAAAAGGAACCGATTAGTTCCGCAAAAAATCTCTGACTTTAAGAGGTGATTCATTGAAGAAAAAGCAACAAAAAAATTTTTTATGGATGTAAAGGAACTAGACATAGACGTAGACTACTTTGGTACTGTAATAAAAGACATTTAAGATTTTAAAAGCAATGAAAGCAGGTAGTTCCTCATATAGAGTAAGATCCAGGCATGCTTGGTGAAGTCAAGTTATTTAAATGTAAGCAGCAAGGCACAGAAGATTAAAAATCACGAGTTCGATTTCGTATAAGTCAAACAGCATGGAACCATTGGTTGCTGTAACCTTTATTAAAGAAATGATTGGATCTAAAAGATTCAGTTGCAAGATTCTGTCCGAAAAAGGATCAACTGCATTCTTACTTATGAGGAACTGCAATTGAAAACTGTTGATCCAATGGGTGCCTACAACAATGTAGACCGTTATTTTTTCTAAAATTCAAACCTGTTTCGAAAAAATTCGAAAAATAATTTTTTATAAAAAATTTTGAAATTTTAAAGACCGTTAAATTTATTTATGAACAAAAATCAATTCTTCGACGCAAATTTGTTTTTTGAATGTAACAATCGACAATGAAGCTCAAGTTTTGATGGAAAAGTTACAAAAAATAATATTAAATTTTCAATAGTCTTTGAACAATGCTCAAATGGAATTTCAACCTGACTAAGAACAATATCTGAAAATTTTGTCTTGAATGTGTTACTATCACTTACAGCAGAAATCTCACTTCCGTCGACACTTATGTTGTTTGATTTTAAAAATAACAAGCATTTATCTTTGTTTAATGAGTGCTTAGGTACTTTAAAAAGATTTGTAATTGTTTTATTTTTGTTGCAGCTTGCAATTTTGCAGGTTTTACCCATAATTAATGAAAATTAATCAAAATTTTACTGATGTAAACAAATATAATTTTTTGATGAAATATTTTTAACGGAATTTCATTTTTTGAAAAAAATTCAAATTCGAATTTTCGATTTCGAAGAATAAGGACCATTTTCGAAGAATAAGAACCATCGGCACCCATTGGCTGTTGATTTGAAAAATAATTTGAGAAATTGCATGCAAAAATTTTGTATGGAGGTATTTTAAAATGTCAAAAAATATCCCTTTGAAAAATGATTTAAATCAAAATCCCTTTTTAAAATCATCGCAAAAGATTTTGATTTTGATTTTTGATTTAAATCACCCACCCTGGTTAGAGCAAATAAATTTGTTTGTATGGAGATTTCGGATTTGTATCTGTAAGCTTGCTGTGTTGGTGTGTAGCTTGGTGCCCAACTTGCACCTCGATATTAAGCGCCTGTAATTGCACTTGCTGGACTTGTCAGAGTTGACTGTTACGTACAAAGATAACTGTTACGAGGTCCTGAATTGCCTTGCAAATAGAAAGGATAAAAATTCATTAGTTCCAAAAAGTTCAAGAAACTTTTTCTGTGATTTTTATTTTATGAAAATTTAAATTGAAATCTCTGAAAATCAAATTTATGAACTGCACCCTCTCGCTTTCGGTCGGTTTCAATAAAATATGCATAAGAGAATTTTTTGTTGCATCCTCTTCATCTTCTTGCTTTTCACTTCCCTCAAAAACTAAAATGTTTTATGCATTTTTTCATTTTTTTCATGACGAATTTTTTCATCTCTTCCATATTTATCCTATAAAAATGATTTTTGGAAGCAGTCAGCAGAGATTAATCAAATTTTTTCAACCCGAAAAAAAGTTTATCCGTTATTTCCATCTATTTATTTTCATATTCAGTGTTGAAGGGAAAGTTTTAAAGTTCCCTTGATTTAATTTCTTCAGGAACTTAGTTGGATATGCCAAAAAATCAGGCATAACTCTGACAAAATTTCTACAAAGCAATTCACAAAAGAAACCTCAAATAAGCGATAAGAAGCAAGAATTTAATAACTTTTCAGTCATCCGCACACATTCACATGCATTTGATAGTAAATTTCCGTAATGCATGTTTAATGCTGCATTCATCCATTAATTCATTCATCTCACATAAGCGTCCGATAATCATGAAGGAAAGAAATTGTTCAAGAAAATAAAGAAGAAGCATTGCTGCTCATTCGATTCATCTTGATTCACTAATGACCAAGCCTGAAGACTTTCAGAAGCAGCAAACTTGTGTGATATCTTTTACTCATTCATAAACTTTTTTTCATAGCTCACAAACTCAGTTCAGAATTCAAAGCATGCGAACGAAAGGAACAAAAAGTTTATCTTTTTACTGTCGACCCTTAGCAATTCTTGAACTTAAAACAGCAACAAAAAGAAAATTCTTTTGAAAAAATCTTCGTGAAATCCTTTTTGTTTGCTGTTTTGGATCCACGTGTGTGGGATGTACTCAGTACTTGGCTGACTATAGGGAAGAGTAGAAATATATCAAAAACCAAGGATAACTTGTCTGGTTCTATTTTTAATATATCTATATTTGGATATTTGGTACCCTGCCATCACAGAGGTCTAAACTATCATTCATCACTAGCTTCATTCCTGCCTCCAAACTGCAAACAAATATTTTTCATCTTAAAAGACTGAAAGGGATATGAAAATTGTATTGCGGGTCTTTAAAATCATAAAAAAAATGTTGCAGCTTATTTTATTGCAAGCTTGAATGGTATTAGTAGTAAGAGGATATGGAGGAAGAAATGTCATCAAATTTACTGCCATTATATCCAATGTTTCATATCCATTAAATATGAATATGCTTTATGATGGAAGATTTATGTTCAAAATGCTTTGTCGGCATCAAATGAAATTATTCTTGTATCTTTGTGAAAGCGATAGCTGCAACCGAGACATGAAGTCTTATTTGCTTTTATTTTTACAAGACATAAAGACAGAGAATGTACTTTGACTATGTATGAAAGGGATGAAAATGTTTTTCGTGGTGTAGGAGATGCTGGAAAGACCAAAACTGACGCTTTAATACTATCATAATGTTAACAGACTGAAGACGTGACAAGAATCGAATTGAATTTTTTTTCTTGTTACTTTCGACTCCTTCAGAACATTCACAAGCCATTGATGATGGTGGCTTAACTTGATCGACACTTTTCGACATCATCTAATGCATGCATCGGAAAGTTGTAAGTAGAATGCCTGAGATGCTGTTGCTGGTAAATAAAAATGGTGAAAGTTAAATACCCAATAAATTACAATGTTTGCATGATAATAAGACTGAAGTCAACGGGAACAGAATGACAATGGCAGCAGTGTCTATGGCTGTACGAGGATGGAAACATGAGAAGAACTTTCCTCAAATCTCCATTAAATGAAAATGATATTCAATGCCTCATTAAAAATTTGATGCCATTTCACGCTCGTCGCATCCCTCGCTCAATATTTCTTACTTCGTGTGTCTAATTAATCATTTTTTGCTGCTTATGCTCTTGCTTCTTGCTACTGATGATATTCTATGTCTGGCAATTTTTCATGCCCTCTTCTCATGTAATGTACACAGAGTGAGTGCGGTAAACAGTAAAATAATAATAATTGAAGACGGGCAAGCAAGGCAAGGCAAGAATGAGGAAAAAAAGTAAATTTTCAGCAAATATTTATCGATTCTTAATAAGAGCCATTAACATTCATTAACATAATGTCTGACTTGATGGACCAAAATGAATTTTATTCTCTCATCTATAAGGAATTCAGGAATAAAATTGGAAAATAAGAATGAGAATCAAAAGGCGTAGCATGAACATCATTCAAGATAAATCACACAGTTGCCATAAACATTATTAGCATTGTCAATGACCTAAGATCAATTTTCATTATGCAGTGAAATAAATTGAAAGGAAATGAGGAAGTGAATGGCAGAAGACATGGAATGGAAAATTTAAGGATGCTCGCATATTTCCATTAAATTAATTGATATTACTCATGTCTATATCTTATCCAAATGAAAGCTATTTTCAGGATTTCATCGTCATTATTCCAAATTAATCACAATTTAGCCTTAGATTTTCAATAGTGTTGCTTTAATGCTTTATTTTGCTTACTGTAATTGATCATTGTCTAATGAATCCACAACCACAGTCAGGTGAATAAAAATTCGTCATGCAATGGCATTAAGCACACGGAATTAGAATTAATGTATTGTAATTATTGTGATTGTTGATTTTTATGTTGCTGTTTCTAGATTCTTTAACGAATGGGAACAGACGCATGTTTAGAAGTAGGTTGGAGTCATATTTGACCATCCTTACTTATTTATCGACCTTAAACAAGAAAACTTGACCTCGGAAAACAAGATGAAGTACAAAAAATGCTGCTTGGACATTCCAGCACAGGAACTAAATCATCCACAAATTTATTTAGACTAATCATGAATGCACAACTTTGTGAGTTTATGATCAATGAATGTCTTGTTTGGAACACGAAATTTCATAATTGTGCGTGACAATGACGTCAAATGAAGAGACTGGAACCAATACAGACACAAAAAAGTATCTCCATAATGAGTACATAATGTAAATGATTTTACAGGGATGACATCAGAGGCGTCAGGCAGTAAAATGTGAGTGAGAAAGAAAATTACACATTTAGTGCCGGAGGGTCGTAAATATTTATTATCATATCATTTTAAATACATAAATAAAGCGTGAATTTATTGCCATTTTTGTCATCATTCTCGGCACTAACTTCTCGTCTCATTTTTATTGTTATAAATTTTTGATAACTTTCTGTCGCTTCCAATTTTGAATTTTTTTTTTCAAGAACTTTAAAAGAACAAGCATACAGCAGAAAAAAACTGTTGAAATCAAGCAGCAACTGAGACTACAAAATAATGAATTTTGCGAGACGGAAGTAAACTTCCTGCATAAAAACTGACGACAATCTGATTGGCAACAGTCATATTAAGTACATTCATTGTAATTTGACATGTTAATTTCTCAGATTTTTGTGTATGTGTTGCTTCTATTGCTTCTTCTAGTCCATTCAACTCACACTTTTCTTGTTCTTCATAATCGATTGTTGTGCTGCACAATTTTATGTCTTCTCAAAATGATGAATTTATTCAATTACACTTCAACATTTTAAGTTCATAAGATCCTCAAAAATAAGAAAAAATATCGAGGGCAAAAATTTAAGGAATGAAAAGAATTTATTGCTGCAGAAAAGGTTGTTTTGGGATCTCAATTGAAAAGATATAAAAAATGTACTCAAATAGAGAAGAAAATTGTTGGTAAAGTGGAAGCACTGTCGGGATGAAAAAGGTAAAAATTCTTCCTTTAATGCTTCTTGAAAATATTTTTTATCAATCTCATAAATTTCTCCTCAAAACATGAAGAAGGCATGAGGAAAAAATTGATGAAAATTTATAGCATAAGAACTGGAATCGATTTTTGCTCGTTACGCAACTTTTTTACCTATTTAAGTGAAACAAGTTTTGATCGTAAAATTATTTATTGAAGGGCAAAAGTAGCTTCTAATGCAACAAGGTTCTTGAGACGATGAGAAGTCATTGATTCTATATTTTACGATTTTTTAAAAGAATTTTGTTATGGATTTAATAAAGAATATTTGAATTATAAGTTCTCGATTAGTGCTCCTAAAACTGTGCTCATTCTGGTTGGATTCAACACTAAAATCCACAGGCAACTAATTGACAATATAAATGACTTTACCATCGAATTCGAACTAATTCATAGAATAACTGGATGTCAATAGCCAATTATAGAGTTCATATTTCAATTATAAACTTCCAGCATCTACCAATAACACTTTCCGTACCTAACATCACCAGAACAGAGAGAAAAATCTTTGAATTATTGAAAGAATTTCAACACAAAATCCTCAATCAGAAATCAGAACTAAGTGACGACAAAGAAGAAGAAAAAAGTGTCAAATGCATTCGGATTTGAATGTTGAAATGAATGAAAAATGACAAAGTAGAAGTGATGAGATGTAGCAAGAAGAAGGAACGAAGAAAGTGACGACAAGTTAATCAGATTATGAAAATTTAATTCAATGTATGTTCACGTCATTCAATGAGAATATTTTGTTGCCTTTCCCATTTCCCATCACAGTCTTCAGCACCGTCATGAAAATAAAATCTCCTGAATTTTTATATTCTTAAATTAAAAAATTTTCTACATTTTTTTCTTGCTTCAATTTTCATTTGCATGACATTATGATCTCAATATTTCATTATTTCCTCATTGTCATCGTCATTAAGTTCCACTTCTTAGTATTGTAACTCATCCATTCATGTTCCCTCAATTTTCATTATTTTTTCTGTTGTTATTTGCCATACGCACCACTTTTAGTCATTCAAATTGACTTCAAACAATGTGAAAATTTGCAATATAATAATAATAATAATAATAATAATAATAATATGAGTACGAGAACAAGCATAAAAAGGAAGGAGAAGGAGGAAAAATTGATAAAAAAATTATAATTTTAAATTTTTTTCCTCTCACTCACAGAAATAATAACAATTTACATTGTAACAGAATAAGAATAAGAAGTGACGATATTGGGGATGAGGATGTGAAGGAGAAAGGAAGCAAAAGATGGAAAATTTGCATGAATTAATACGCTTTGTGGCTTTAAGGATTTCTCATCTCCTTTTTTCTCCATCATCGTGTTCATCTCGTTAACGAAAAACATACTTAAGTCAATTGAAAGAGCAAAAATATTTTCATTGCATTATTTTTTTTTTGTATGTGCTGTGCTGGATGTGCGCGCGGCAATCCACAATGCTCTTTCATCTACAGACACTGCCTTGTGAAATTTTAATCAAGCAATGAAAGAATTATGGGAAAATGTTTTAAGTTTTTCTTAGTCTATGGCAATCTGTGCTTTAAGCTGACAACATTGTGGATTTTTTTGTGGGAAATTTAAGTTCTAGTGATGATGATCCTGAATATGTCACGACTAATTTTGTAAATCTGCATTGAGAATTCGGGATATTTTGTAGCTAATTAGCTGTATTGTTGATTGCTAAGCCTGCATGGTAAGTAACAATATTCCCGTTCACAATTTAATTGAATCATATCCTCAGGAACTGCTTCGTTCCATTTCTTCCTTCCCCACTTTAATAAAAATAACTAAATTATCAAGATTTTATAGATAAAATAGAAGTGAACAGCTTCCAAGAAATGGAATAATAACTTATCGTAAGAGCATCAATCTCAATTACTAGTAATACATGCAGCATGAGCATTAGCAACAGCATCTGGCTTATGAGAGACAGAAGAGAATGTGATCGACACTGAAAGAATTTTCACAATTTTATTACTTTTTACAACTTCATTTAACTGCTGCTGCAACTTTGATGATGCACGCTGTTGTTGCTGCTTAATTTCATTTTCAGTTCTTTTCTTTTTATCTTCTCAGTTCTCACACAGAAATGAGACAAAGTCAAATAATTATTTAAAAGTTTCTGTTTCATGTCATTTGCCATAAATTAAAATTTACAATTCAGCTTCTTTTATTGCTTTATCTTGTCATTGTCATCATTTGCATCATTGAAACTTCTTCGTCACTTCTTTGTGACTTGTCGATGAAATTAAAAAAATTGGAATTAAATGACAAAGAAGCTTGAAATGGCAATTTTCAACGAAATTAAAGAATGAAATTTAAATTTATTTATTCGCATTGGAACCGCCAACAGATCAGTTTTAGTTCAATGACCACAAAATGATTTTTTTTTTGTATTTTGCTCCAAAAATGAGCTCAAAAAATCTGAAGATTAGTTCCGCAAAAATTTCGTGTTTCTCATGTCTATCGATTTTACTTCCATCTCCACTCCTTCTTGCTCTTTAAAAAGTATTGGAAAGTATTTCAAATCTTTTATGAATCTTGTCATGGTCGATCTATTTTTAGACAAATTTTACATGCAAGAATGTTCAATCTTAGCTGAAAATCTTTTGTGAGTTAAGACTCTGAAGTGCTCAACAATAGGCACTGATTGACTCAAAACAGTTTCTATTCAAAAAAATTAATTGAATTTACAAAAATGCTCAAAATAGAACTGATAATTTCCATAGATTTCTTCAGAACTGACAGAATCAGAATTTTAGAATCAACTTCATTAAAAACGGAAGTAGAACAACTATGCGGTACAAAATCAATGAGAATATTTTCAAAAAAAAATCTTCAAAAGATAACAGCTGTCAATTAAAAAATTTCAATCCATTCAAGCTTCTTCATTTGATTATCTTTGAAAGAAAAATGAGAATTTTTTTTTCGATTTATTTTCATTGTCTCTGCATTTTCAGCTTTAATTCATTTCCTGCACTTCCATTACGTTCATGTACTTTATGGCATTTAACACAATCAATCATGCAATTATGACATTTTTTCTGCTTCCATTTCACTTCACTTCGTTAATATTTATTAAAGTTGTAGAAAATTTTATGGAGATTCAGGGGTGCTGGGTGGCTTGCTTTTTAGTTTATCTAGCTTAGTCTTAGAGTTGAGGTTCACAAATTGTATATTGGGAAACATCAAAGCAATATTTGTAGCTGTTAAGGGATCTTAAAATATCGATAGGTTAATAAGGCCTGTCTTAATGAGAATGCTGCATCTTCTACGTCTAACTAGTCATCCTGATTCTCAAATTACATGAGATCCACAAGATCCAGTGATAATAATACATATAATTCCTGTATAATGCAACTTTAATTCAATAGTAAGCACATAGAGCATTCATCATCAGCACCACACCCCAACCCTGATTCTATTAAGTACCACCAACAAATAGTTACACCAGCAAACTGTATAGACTCCATAAAAATGTCTATAGCTGTATTGTTTCTTTGAAAATCAACACATAAAAAATTAGAAACGTAATAGAACAGAAAGAGAATTATGAGATGCATTAATTAAGCATTCTTGTGGTAAATGAATGTCAGTACGAATGTGAAAGAAAGTAAAGGAAGCTTTTCGAGTCTTTCAATTACCAGCAATTGCTCATTCAAATGGAATTAATTCATTCTGTATGTTATGTAATGCGAGTTGAAAGGAAAAGATATCGTTTTAAGTAAATAAATGGCAGACAGAGAAGTAGTTTGTAAGCTTTTACAGTTTTTTTTCTTTAACCTATATGTTGTAACGTCACTTACAACAGTAAAACTTATTTTGAATTTTTGCTGTTCTATATTTTTAAATCTTCGCGCTCTTCTCAGTTCGCGCCATCGTTTAGAAAAAGACCGCTTCAATAAATAGTGAATTTTAGTAGTTTAAGCAAGTGTTTTGATAGAACAGCGTCTAAAACACTTCATTGGCGACGAGGAGTAACTAGAACTCTTGCTTCTAATCAAATTTCATACCAATTCTTCAGCTGAAATTACCTTTCTTCTAATGACTGAGATGGAAGATTTAATAAAACTTTTGATGCAGCGCGATGAAGCAGCTCGCGTTGAAGCCCGTAAACGCGAAGACACTCTACTGAAGATTATACAGGAACTGAAGGAGACACGCATCTGCCCATCAACTTCTCTCAATATTGAAGGATCCCGTGATCATGAAGATGGGAAGTCAACTATATTCTTACAATCTCCAGACGAATTCATTGCTAGTCAAATAACTGAATTCACATACTCGCCGAAGGAAGGGCTTACCTTCGAAAGATGGTATGAGCGTGTTCGTACGATTTTCGCATCTGATAAGGGCATGTCAATCTCTGAATCAGGCAAAACACAGATGATTCGCAGCAAGCTCACTCAAACGGATTACCAATGCTTCGCCCAGACGATTCTTCCAAAGAAACCAGAGGAATTAACGCTAAAGGAAACAATTGAAGTCCTCTCAAAGCTGTTCGGTCGTCAGGAAACAATTTTTGCATTAAGACACAAGGTTATGCAGATACAAATGATACCAGGCGAAGATTTTCGTACGTATGCAGCTAGAGTTAATCAAGCGGCTGAGGAGTTTGAGCTACATTCTTTCACAATTGAAGACCTGAAAGCTCAGTTGTTTACGCAGGGATTGAGACTCCCAGAAGTCGCTGCCGTTCGTAAGAAGGTCATGGAAAAGATCGATGACGTACTGATTCGCCGAAAGTCAGAGGACCCAGTAATTACGCCAAAACCAACCCTAGACGACCTTGCTACACTAGCCACTCGCATGCTGATCCGGGAAGAAGAAAGCAAACTTGTCGAGCAACAAGTTTTGACAAAACAGGAAGTTTTTGCCATCGGTCGAGGTCCTTGCAAATGGAATTGTCGTTTTTGTGGTGAAAAACATTGGCACGTTGACTGTCCTTTCAAACTCAGGAAGTGTACATCATGCAACACCACAGGACACAAAGCTGGATTTTGCGAATCAGCGAAGGGCTTTAAAGAACGGACTAAGAATCGCAACTCTAATTCAAAGATACATTCTACTAGTGACTTTGGAAAGAACCCACGGAAAAACGTACGACCAAAAATTAATGGAATTCCTATTCGCTTGAAGCACGACTCCGGCTCTGATTGGGTTATTATATCAAAGTCCAACTGGCTTCGCATTGGCTCGCCCAAACTATCGCAACCAACGACACAGGCTATCAGCGCTTCAGGCGACTCCGTCAAGGTAATAGGTTTCTTCTCAGCAGTCGTAGAGATTCAAGACAAATGCGGCGTCGTCGACTGTTATGTATCTTCGAACGATCTCAACCTTTTTGGCAACAGCGCAATGGAAGCACTGAATCTATGGGACAAACCAATAACATCTTACTGCGATAGCATTAATTCTTCACAAAACCAGCTGATGGAAGAGGTAAGAGAAAGATTTCCTAAACTTTTCTCTAAATCTTTAGGTTGTTGCAACTTATACAAGGCATCGATTAAACTTAAGCATGGTGTTCATCCACCCTTTGTCCGTGCACGCCCAGTTGCCTTTGGTGTCAGAGATACTGTTGAAAAAGAATATGACGAACTAGTAAGACAAGGCGTATTCACACCTATTGACTACGCAATCGCAGCAGCCCCAGTAGTCATTGTCAAGAAAAAGGATGGCAGCCTTCGTGTGACCGCAGATTACTCTACTGGACTCAACAAGGCTATCGAGTCATGCAATTACCCTTTGCCAACCCCTGACGCAATTTTCGCAACGCTCGCAGGTAGTGATCGTTTCACTACCTTAGACTTGTCAAGCGCATTTCACCAAATTGAGTTGGACGACACAGCAAAGGCATTCATGGCTGTTAACACACATCGTGGACTGTTCCAAGTAAATCGACTTCAATTTGGAGTGAAAACCGCACCAGCACAGTTTCAGCAGCTTATGGATACTATTCTCGCCGGATCAGGTGCAACTGCATACCTGGACGACGTTATTATCCCTGGCAAAGGCGAGGCTGACCACAAGAATCGTCTCTTGGATGTGCTTAAACGTCTGGAAAACGCTGGTCTTCAGCTTCGTTTAGAAAAATGCAGGTTTGGCCAAACTTCTCTCAAATTCCTTGGTAAGATCATTGACGCTGAGGGCCAACGTCCCGACCCCGAAAAACTCGCGACGATTCGGGAACTACCACTTCCGGAAGATATTTCACAACTTCGTGCTTTCCTCGGTGCTATCAACTGGTACGGAAGTTTCATCCCAGGCTT